CAACAAATCTCAACTCTGGGACCCAGAGTCTGGGTATTCGAGTTACGTGATCTTCTAAGCCTACCGTAGGACTAAGTGCTTAGGACCCCACGTCAATGGTGTGCTCTGAGCACCGAGATACCCCTCTCTGCCGAGTCTCTGCGAAACCATGGCACGATGCATCGAGGAAGGGCAGCAGTCCAAGCACCCCATCAATAAATCACTAGAAATGAGAGGAAAGTTTGACCGAAATGAAGAGCCTGATTGTTTACAAAGAGCGAAAATGCCAGGTGGATCACCTGTGCACATCGGCTGAGGTGATGTGCCCCGCTACATCGTTGTTTCTGGACAACGACTTTGATTTTCTCCAGCCGAATTTTCAGTGTCATCGGCTGGAAAATCCAACGCGGAATTCATCACTGAGGTAATAACAAGTCCTTCAGGCTGCCAGGCTAGTACACTGGTGTTCCATCGGAGACAGGGCCGTTTTAGCAATGCCGCCGTTGGGATCCTGACCAGTCAGATAACCAAACTGGCTTGTGTCAGAATTGCGACAAAAAAACTGTCTCGAGCTGAGGTATTTCACGCAGAGAATCAATAAGGTCCGTGTGGGCACCCCAGTACCACTGAGCCAGTGGTGAGTCACCGCCGGTGACAGAGAGGTTGGCGTCGCCATATTCGCCAACTTGGCGAATATGGGAGTCACAATACCGCCTCATACCCTCGCGGATATGGTTCAGTATGCTGAGCGACGCAATTTGGGTAGGCCTGGATCCCGAGAGATTCGCGCTTGTATCGGTAACAGACTTGCTAAATCCAAGCATGTGAGGCAAAAATCCTCTTCGGGCATCTCAGCCTAGTCATTTCAGAAATCAGCTGCGCGAGAGCTGGAATCAGTCCTGCCTAACCTATACGGAAATACAGCGCGCTGCCAACGATGCGTGGTTCCCTATTCCCGTCGCCTGCTTATGAAAAAACCTCGAAAATTTCGAGTCGAAATAGATGTGATGAACTCGACTATTGACTTGCCTATGATAGCATGCCCATCTTCGGGAGGAAAGTTTGACCGAAATGAAGAGCCTGATTGTTTACAAAGAGCGAAAATGCCAGGTGGATCACCTGTGCACATCGGCTGAGGTGATGTGCCCCGCTACATCGTTGTTTCCGGACAACGACTTTGACTTTCTCCAGCCGAGTTTTCAGTGTCATCGGCTGGAAAATCCAACGCGGAATTCATCACTGAGGTAATAACAACGTAAATTCATGAATAGCAGTGAACTCGAAAATCCTTCGTATTCGTGAGTTGGCGATGCGAGCTGTGCACTGTGCGAAGCACTGAGTGCCTGGCACTCTTGACTCACACGACTGTGGAATGATACGCTTGAACTCCAAGTGTATAATTCCACAATCGTGAAGTCTTGAAAAGTCGACAATACGAACGTCATTTCTGATGATCAACAATAACGAATGGGATCATTGAGCTTACTTGTACAGATAGATTCCACGGGTATTGCAATGGTGCAATGCAACACTGATACTAGTCGGCAAAGAGTCAGCGTACTCACTAATCTAATCCAGGCCTCTCATTGAGCAACAACCACCACGGGCGACATGTGTGTCACCACTGAACCTTGTTGGTGCCGATTTTGCGCCCGGAGTGTACTTGTAGCTGTCTCTGTTCGAGCTCCTATTTTGCTGTATATGCCAGCTTATATCGATGGTTGCTTCTCATCTCGTAAGAATGTATCACCCCAGAACGCATGATTTCTTCTACTGCGTCCGTGTACGTCTCGTTCTCCTACCATCTTTACGATGTAAATACAGTCAGCAAGTTCGCATACAAGCTACTAAACGAGATCCGAAGACATAATAGCGAAAATATGCCGCATAGTAAGCGACTATGATTCCGATGAGAATAGCTTGCCCAACAGCAGCTCTTCTGATACCGTCTTCTATCCGAGCTTCGATATACCACTGGAATGAGTCCAGGTCACTCATTGGAACACCGCTGTACATGACATGTTCGTACCGCTTAGCATTACTACCGCTAATATAGCGATCGATGTAACTGAAGAAAACTAAAAATGATAACAAGTCATACTTGGCGCCTGAACTCACTGTTGCTCTGTGGCGTCAGTGAAGAAATCACTCGGGAAAACGCTCTGATTTCCGAGCCTGAGAAACGATTATAGTGAGTGGATATAATCGTGCGTTAAAATCTCACATTTTCAAATTTCTCCCACAAATTCATATTACATACTCTCATACTCACAAGGAAAAATTGGACATTCCCAGAAGAGTTTGTGAACCGAAGTGGTCTAATCTCAAGTTTCAAAACACAATGAATCGCTTCGGACTAAAAAATTCCTCTAGTTGACCAAATTGTGAACTCGAGCTGAACACACCGAGTACTATTAGCCATCGTCAATGCTGCACCCCGTCAGTTGATTTCAGATAAGGTCGAAGCTTTTTGGTGCTCACGAATAGAACCAACAGATTCGAGTGAAGAATATGCAAAATGCAGACGATTACAAACGTGCGAATAATTCACATCGGAATTTTTCCCAGGCTACAAAACGTCGAAGTAATCGAAGGCCTCTAGCTGATTGCTGGTGACTCTTAGGCGACTGCATTGGATAGTTTTCTTTGGAGGTTCTAGTAGAACCGTTCTAATAGTCTTTGAGACATTCTCGACCGCATAGGATTTTCTTTACTACTGTGTGATCTAGTTCGATATTTTCATTCAAGCACCATTCGATCTTCGGGTGAAATTCACTTCGAGCGATGTTTCACAGTTTTCCAGGCCTCATTGAGTATATATCTCCTCCAAGCCACTTGTGGAAGGTACGGGAAGCCTCTTGGGCGGCGTTTTATCTGTAATAGTGAGGGGAAGGGCTCCTTGGTGTACTCGAGTACCCGTGCGGGTCATTCGAAATTACCGCTTAACGCTAAACCCCGTTCACAGTATGTGATATGTCACACGCCTCATTCGATTGATATATCGCTCTCCTAAGGGTTGCCCCTTTCACGATAGTCGTGGGGTTTATATGCACCCGGACCTCCACCTATGGCTTCGTCTTCTACTTGGTGGTGGTGTTCATCTTACTCAGCAGTTCTTGTTGTTCATGACTCTGTTTAAAGGCTTACATTGACAGATCTTGAATAGTGATTGTCTCATCATATCTAGCTCGTCTCGGTATCAGCTCACTCCTTGTCCTTGCGGTCACTCGTTTCGTCTAGAACGTCCTTTCTGCTGTCCGACGATCGATCGTTCTGATGGCGGCAGCCCGTGGGACTTGTTCGTCTCGATGTAGTACCGGATAATTTCAAATGTGGTATCATTGCTTATTGTATGCTTAGTGTTCGCCGAGGAGCATTGATGGATTTCTCCCGCCTGGTGGGGGACCACTTACCACCCGTTACGTGGACTTGCCAACGGTTGCCTCCTATTACACAAGGATGAGTTGCTGTACGCTCTGGGGAGCGTGAAGTCAGTAGTCGAACAAGTGGACGAACATCTTGCTGGTGGTATATCTTGCTTAGATTGTGTGTCCAATCGCCGCTATGTTCGAGACAAACGTGGAAGTGGAAGATGTACCAGAGTTGGTAAACTCGGATCCTGAGGATGGCAGCTGGTTACTCCTGATAAACTATGAGTAAGTTGACGGCTGAGTGTCGATTGGATCCAGAGACATATTGAAGCTGATGAGGTGAACTTCCTTACTGAGGAGGAGCACTGTGAACCACTATGATGTTGAAGTCTAACTGTAAGGGTTCGGAGTCTTTCTGGATCCACAATGTGAATTTCGCATGTACAGTATTTATCATTATAGGCTGAAGTTTAGCACATTCCCAGTCTGAGGGTGATTATTCACCGCTTTTTTTACCATAGTATTCGCTCTATTCTGTATGACATTGAAAGACAAATTCACATGCGCTGCCCACTGTGGTGGAGTGGCGCGATAACTGTTGTGTTTTCATAAGGGTAGTGGTTGTAACACACTAATAACACAATCGAGTCTACTAGTGATCGTGAAGTTGCCGATTTGCTCTGCGATAGAGTGTTTTAGTGACTCTACCGCGTCCTAGCCTCGATAACACAAAGCTGTCTCCGAAATTGCTGCGCACGCGTGCACAAGGTGGAGATTCGTGACTAAGCGAGAGATTCCACAAGTTATACCAAATTACACATGCTGATGAAGTGGTTCAAACATAGGTCGTTCATGCTTGAGTTGATGAAAAACGGCGGGTTGAAACGGCTCGTTATGAGGACGATCGCTGCAAGATATTCGGTGTATCGATTAGTAAGGCGTAGCGAGATTTTGCATAGCGTTTCATTAATTATGAAAGCTGCGTGCTGCCCCCAGCACGATTCTCGGAGAACTCAACAACCGACGATGGCCTCATCGAAGGTGTGTGGAATGTCAGACGCCAGTACAGAGACTGGTGCGGATATCAACGTAAGGCTTGTTATGCCTCCGTGTGGTTCTCAAGCGGGCGTTTGAGGCGATTATCATCATCATGACGCTGCGCTTTCGTTGTCGTTGTGATGTTGGTGTTGTCGGTGGTGATGCGAGTGGTGATGGAAGTGTGGGCTTGATTGTTCTTACCATATCCCTCTGAGGGTTGCCTCTAGAGGCTTCCTCTATGATGATGATTATGTTGATTCTGCTCTTGCTCTTCAGCCAAGCTTCGATCGCCACTCAACAGCTGCTGGACACTGTCTACTTTCTGACTTCGAAGTGGACTTCCTCTCTGGTTTGATCTGTGACACCGGCTACTCGCTCGTCGAGGACAGCATGACCACCACAGCGCCAGTCCGGAAGAAGACTCGAACTTCGTCTGTATCCAAAGTGGACCTCGATCTCATCATACCATCCTGTCAACGGAGGTCTTGCACGACGACGACCACCAGTAAGTCCGAGGGTGCAGCAAGCAGCTCGTCAGGGTCGCGTACTAGTACGCCTGAGAAGACGTCTAGACGAGGCAGGAAGAAGAAGCCCACTAGTCATCCATGTGGCATGTCTGAGTTCGAGCGCAACGAGTACCGGAGGTTGGTCCAACATATGGTCCGCATGAACAAGGAGTTGGTTGCGCCGTTCATGAAGCCTGTCCCTAAATGGGTACCTGGTTACTACGAGATGATTACTGTTCCAGTCGATATATCGATGATACTCAATCGTCTTGACTCGTGGTTTTATGCCTCTCGAGCTGACTTCGAGGCTGATATGAGGCAGATGTTCATCAACGCCTACACCTTCAACCAGCCTGGTTCCCTCGAGTACGAATACGCCCTCGAGCTTCACTCTATCTTCAACACTATGATGTCGACGGCTCTTGACAAGGTGTTGCGGCAACTAGCCGAGGAGCACGAGAAAGAAGTGCATTCCACTGTGAGTAGCGGTCGGAAACGTAAGCGACGATCAACGTGAGAGACTTCGAGCCTCAGTTGATGTGTTACATAGTGCTTGACGACTACTTATTCCCTCAAAACGATTGACTACTGCCGGTCGGCCTCCGTTGTAGGAATGGAGTTGATCCTATAGATGATTACTTGCATATTTGTTTAATTCTATTGTAGTATTGGTATGGTTTTTGCAAATTACAAGACTTTTGTTAGTGAATCCAATATCGTGAGGTCGTCTTATTAATATGATGTGGAATGAGCTCACTCAAGATAACCTGATTGAACCCTGTTAGATCCACTCCTCTAGAGAGACAAACAAATCAACACGTTAGATAGGAATCGTAACAATTTTCGAACTCGCGAGACACACAGTATCAACATTACAATATGTGTAATAATATTACATATTGTTATTCCATTGTGTTATTAATATTACCAGTCGCAGCTGTAAGACGAATATTACAATAATATTCGTCTTACAGCTTCGACCGGCTCGCCTGATAAAAGTTTTGCAGTGAAACTTATGATAGCCAACCCTTGTTGCCTGGAGCAGTATAGCTCATGATCGTTGTAACCGATGTCTGCTCACCCATATCTCGTTCAGGCTGAATAATGGATTTTGAACTATCACTCGTGCCCTGGCTGCTGCCTAATGAAAAGACACGCAGCACTGCTTCAGCCATTCGCTTATCTCCACTTCCAGAGGCACGACAGATCTTAGATTTCATGTTGGTAATCCACCGTTGTTTCGTCGTTTTTCGCGAGCCGTATCAAAATTGAGGTCGTGCTTTCCCCAAAGGCGGTTCTGAATGTTTGAGCTTGCTGCAACCGGCGAAAACTTGAAGATAGACTCTTGAGCGGGCTCAAGGCAGATCGGCAACAGATACGTATGCGGACGGTTTAGCATCACCGATCTAAATGTCATAATCTGTTCTCCGATGTGTTTACTTTTTCCCAATTCGAGCTCGGCGGTCCGCATTCAAACCTCTCGGAGATTTTCAATTGCATCGATAGTATGGATGAAAGTGCAGGTATTTCGTCTTAGATGTCCAATATTTAGTCCTTCTACTGTCTCTCGCAGCATCATACTGCCAACATCTAGGACTGTATGAGAATATGTAGACCATTAGGTTTGATGGTGTAACAGTTAACACTCTATACTCCTAGTCTGTCGGTCTGAGCTCAAATCTCAGTGGAGCCCGATCCGTGTTCAACTCACGGTGGAACCTTGTACTAATGTGATATTGACACTGTTTGCATGGGACCCTCTACTTTGTCCGGGTCATTCAACGCTTAAAATGTACTCCTGGCGGATAGCGGACTGTTAGGTATACATAGTACTGGAATACGTAGAGGATGGGAAAGACGCTGGCTCAATAACGTCAATATTAACATGTCTGAGGCTCAGGTCGCTATCCCTGTTGAAGTGTTTGCAAAACCCGCATAATGCCTCTCATTTGACTAGACCTCTCCTGCATATTGGAGAACGGGAGGTAGGTCGAGATCACTCTATCACTAGGTCCCATTTCATTAGTTACAAAAGGCGACTGCTTCGGTTGGAATACAGCAATCCGGATTCGAACTCTTCAATTTATTCAACCCCTTTCGATTGTTGCGACTACACCTGTCTCCGACAGTGTACTTTATGCAAGTCCTTCCGTGTTGGGTTGTAGTATTCTACTTGAGATCTAGCGATTCGAGCTGAGTCGTTTGCGCTCCGACTACGAAGCAATGTCGAGAAGCAACCTAGTCATCCGGTTTTTGGGAGATCGCGTGCTTATATTATATAGTACAGCAATCGAACGTCATCATCGAGCTTGTATTAGACTCTTTTACTACACCGACCGCTTTTCGAACTGCACTACTCCCATTATCCTAATCTGTAGGCTGCTAAATCTATACGCCATAGATCGACTTTCCTCTCCCCCTTTATGATAAGAGAAAACATGCATAAGTCCAAGCGTGCCGTCGACCTTCACTTGCACATCGGTCGGTTCTGCATCAGTCAGTTTGAACCTCTTCCACATATTTTCCATGTTTCGGGCGAAAAGTGATACTGTATGGCATATTAGGCATTGTAATCTATGGCATAGACTATTCAGTAGAATATTTCTCATGGGGGTCCCAAGGAAGGAAGTCGTTCAAACCTTGTCTGACCATAGGCGATCACATCGTAAGTTCCACGATGTGTTCAGATACACAGCGACTCCTAATCCATCCTTGCACCGAAAAGAGTCTCATCGTCTACTTCTGACTATAGGAGTCCTCAAGTTGTTCACGGTCGTATCAGTGTCTCTGACAGTACACAGTACTCATGGTATTGGGTAGAATTGCACGAAAATTGCAAGAAACGCCAAAACGAGCCATCTCTGAATTTTGCGCTGCGTGAAATCGATCAGTCGATCGATCGGCCTTCACTACCAAGCACGAACTGAGACCAGCGTCTGAGGGGACTTGGTAATAAGGGTCAAGGGTGGTCTGAGGAGATGCGATTCACACTGGTATCACATTAGGATTGTGATGTAGGAACTCACGTTATCATGTCGTCTTCTACTTGAGTGTAAAGTTAATTATCCTCACTAGCTGATATTGGAATATATTTCAATCCAAGCTTTGTTGTGGTTTCACTATTGGTTTGTTGTTGTTGTTCAGGAACCATGCAAATATTCGTTAAGACCCTAACCGGCAAGACCATCACTCTTGATGTCGAAGCCGCCGACACCATCGAGGCTGTCAAAGCTAAGATCCAAGACAAGGAGGGTACTTCCCATCGCCGTCCTTCACCCCTGTCCATATTTCAATTCTCTCAGGAATCCCTCCGGATCAGCAGCGTTTGATCTTCGCTGGCAAGCAGCTCGAGGATGGCCGCACTCTCTCTGATTACAACATCCAGAAGGGTGAGTTTTCACGTATGCCGTTAACTCGTCTATATCTCATTTGCTTTCAGAATCTACTCTTCATCTCGTTCTCCGTCTCCGTGGTGGTGTTATCGAGCCCTCCCTCGCCGTCTTGGCCAGGAAGTACAATTGCGACAAGATGATTTGCCGTAAATGTTACGCTCGTCTTCCCCCTCGTGCGGTGAACTGCCGTAAGAAGAAGTGTGGTCATTCCAATCAATTGCGCCCCAAGAAGAAGCTGCGATAAGACCCTCACTGTCGCTGCCGACGTAGTTTAGATGATATAGTTACCGTCTGTGCGGTTCTCTTCATCGTCCGGATGACGCTGGTTCCCTCTGCCCGCTGGTTCTGAAGAAAGCATTCGATGTTGCGTTGTATCGTAGAACGGGCGTTCTACGGGAGGGAGGCCAGGAAAAGAGTAGCTTAGAACATAAGAAAGTCCAAGGAAATGAAATGTTCGCCATTTGAGATATTGTGAAATATCTTTCTGACCTATATAATCGTAATCAACTTTTGAATATAATAAGGGGAGTATTCCTCACGGTAGTTCCGCTCCCAGAGCCTGGGTAGGAGCTTGAGGGTATATGTGGTAGGAAGGGCGAAGAAGCAACCACTGTAAACACAAGCCGATCGGTACATTGAGGAGTAACAAAATGGTGTGGTGTTTGTTTAAGAGCGGGAGTATATAATTTATACACGCAAATACGACTGTATAATTTCCACATGTTCCTTGGAAGTTTCATCGAGCTTGCAAACATCATCATCTTCTATGCCCAGAAAGTCTATCGAAAGGTCTCTCAGAAACTCTCTTAGATGAGGTAGGCGCTGCAAGCCGATCCTCGCCGCTTCCAACCGTACTGATGTCACGCTCTCGTCGGTGTCGCTGAGAATCTCACCATATAAGCTCAGAACCTGAACAAAAGCCATCCGCTAAGGCCGTTGAAAATTCCTTACAAAATCTGAAAGAGCTTCTGAACCGTCCATAGGAGTATTTGCTTTAATTGAATTGAGAGTATTAGCAGCAAATCTGTAACTCAGTTTACGTGCAGATGCAGGAACCTCATCGCCATTGACCGTCCATGAAACTGTAAGGTGCGAATCTCACCCGGCATAGTTCGACTTAGTTACCTGCGTGCTGAGCAATAGACATCATCTCTTCGTCTAGTTGATTAGTGGGGTTCTCGATATTCATAAGGGCAGTGAGCAGCATAGCACCTGATAAACTCGGACAGTCACTATTCACATATCCCAACAGTGTGTGGGGGGGGGGGGGGAATATGCACATGGTCAACTACATGTGTTGGTGACAATGTGGAAATCGTGAGCACCCCTACCCCAAAGTGAACTTCTACAATTAGTGAGGAAACTCCTGATTTCAGCTTAGCTCAGCGAGCAAATATTCCCGAAACACCGTGTCCCAGTGTGGTGCTTACGAACAGCATTGTCCATATCATCGAACGCTTCACTACTCTTCCTCAACCATGCATTCAGATGAGATACTTTCTCAGCTCCTGGTATCTGGAAATGAAAAGCTTTTCTGTACTCTTACTCGGTGACCGGTAACACAGAAAATCAACTGCTAAGCGTGTCACCAGTCACCACTGTATTTATTCGATCTTACTGTGAGCCAGTTCCTCACAAGTGCCCCTACTGCTAGCACATAATTCGAAAAGATCTTCGGCTCGTATTGTGCCTGCCAACATCATTATGCAGAAACCGACCGTCCGTCCAAAACCCACTGTAGTGTCAAGAATGACATTCATAGTCGCTGTTGACCCATCAGTAGTTACGCCCTCAGTCACTGCACGATTGATCGAATCCACATCAGTGATGCCAAGCTTGGTGAGCTTCGCCACAGCTAAGTTCAGCATCCGGGTATCCTTGGGTAAACGATGCGGAACGAAATCAAGGGCTGAAGAAAAAACTATTCACGTTTAATACAGTACTCGCAATCTAGAGATGAATCGAGCATGCCACCGATATAACCTAGCTCATATCGGCGCCACAGTTAACACAGAGGAGTTTCGTGATATGAGAAACATTCCCCGACTACTGCATATCACCGCGAATATCGCGTTTTTCACCGAGTATTACACCACTTCACGTAAAACGGGTGGAACTCCATGGTTAAACATAGTAGCGTATCTACCTTTCGGTTCCAAATTTTCCGGTATTTTTGATAAGCCGGGCTTAGCACTGCTACTGGTCGCGGGAGACTGGGAGACCACTGGCGCAGCTACTGTATCTGAGGTGGATAAAGTGCAAGTGTCTACAGTATTGCCAACCCATTCTACTTGGCAAATTCGATACATGATTCTGAAAAGGGTTCAAACCGCCACTATTCGTAGAGTTTATCTGAGTGGTAAAAGTAATATCAATAGTAGTAGTACTTCTACTAGTACTACTAGTACTAGTAGTACTTCTACTAGTAGTACTTCTACTAGTAGTACTTTTACTAGTACTAGTAGTACTAGTATGCTACTACATGCTAGCGTTGTGATGCTTACTGATTGTCTCATCTGAGCTTCCATGTTTTCTATCATTGGTCGAAGCATAACCCCCATGGGTGACGAGAGTGCCTCATTAGGCAAGTCCACGATGTCTAACAGTAAATATTCTGATGTAGTGTTGGAATATATACTCGCTTTCCTCAGACTGAGCTCAAAAGTTTCCTCATTACTTGCAGAAGTTTACACACGAGTTGTGGTAAAAGTGCTCACAATTTCCCAAAATTTCCTCAAAATTTCCCAAAATTTCCCAAAATTTCCTCAAAATTTCCCAAAATTTCCCAAAATTTCCTCAAAATTTCCCAAAATTCCCAAATAAGTGAGCGATTCTCGTACGACTCACATGAGGGCAATCCTTGACCGTTGAGTAAAAACCTGAAAGTACCACTAGTTGTCAAATTCGACGAGATTCTTACTTAGCAATATCATCAGCGAAATTGTTACAATTATTCGTAAGAAGACTATAGGTTTCTGTGGTGTATCTGAAGACCCCCACCATGACATCTAATAATAAAACGATGGAGTACTTATTCCATATTGAGCGCAAGTAAGTGTTTAACTCCTCCCTAGTCTTGTGAGTAACTCCTGAAATAGCAGTAGCAGTAAACTCACCGGAAGTAAAACGTGTACGACTCAGCTAGACTAATAGTAGTAAACTCACTGGAAGTAATACGTGTACGACTCAGCTAAACTATATAGTAATAAACTCACTGGAAGTAATACGTGTACGACTCAGCTAAACTATATAGTAATAAACTCACTGGAAGTAATACGTGTACGACTCGGCTAGACTATATCATAGTAAACTCACTGGAAGTAATACGTGTACGACTCAGCTAAACTATATAGTAATAAACTCACTGGAAGTAAATACGTGTACGACTCGGCTAGACTATATAATAGTAAATTTCACTTTAAGTAAGTACGTGTACGACTCAGCTAAGCTATCGATAACCAGTGGAGAAATTTGCCGAGTATTTTATGAAGAGTAGACTCACCGAGATCGATCGTTCGATAAGGCATGCCAGGGACAGCGGGTGGAGGGGAGACACAGATACCTACCCAATGACAAGAAGTGGAAGACGAGTGGTATGAAAAGTGGTCAGCAATTATAGTAGTAAAATTATATAAACCATAGATATATATACATACAATGAAGTTTCACCCGTTTTACGTGAAGTGGCGTAATACTCTGTGAAAAACGCGATATTCGAGGCCTGTAGTAGTCGTGAAATATCTTTTCCACTAGTGCTTTTCATATCACTAGGGTGAAACTCCAGTGATATATTATTATAATGAAGTTTCACCCGTTTAACGTGAAATGACGTTTTACTCTATGTAAATTTCAGACATATATGTGTCCGCGACCAATTCTACACAATTGTTTTTCGCGATGCGGATTATGAAATATATTTTTCACTAGTGTTTTTCACATCACTAGGGTGAAACTTTAATGATATATCATCGAAGTGAAGTTTCACCCGTTTAACGTGAAATGAAGTTTTACTCTATGTAAATTTCAGACATATATGTGTCCGCGACCGATTTCACACAATTCTTTTTCGCGAAGTGGATTGTGAAATATGTTCTTCACTAGTGTTTTTTCATATCATGAGCTATCAACTCCAAATGCATTGCATTTGGAGTTAATGCAATTAATGCATTTAATGCTACACCATATTTCATATCATTATCATCAGTATTGTTGTTATTACCTCCTCCATAGTAGTACTCCAACCCGAAGACCACTACTCCAGTGTGCCAAATACCCTACAAAGCAAAATCCATTTTTCACCAGTAGAGAAATCTCTCATTTTTTGCACCCGTTTTTCGTGAAGTGGCGAAATACTCTTCGAGAAAAAATATATGATTGTGAAATTTTTTTTTCCACTAGTGCTTCTCATATCACGGGTGAAGATCCCTATACTGAAAATAACTTACCTCAATTTGTTTCCCTAATATCATGGGGCTCATCTGTCGAGCCATACCTTGGGAAAGGTCATACAAGTGAGCTTGGACTTTGATGCCGTTTATGGAGGACATTTGGACAGCACGAT